AATAAAATCTTAAAAAATAATAATAATAAAACCAGTATGTTTTTTATGTAAGCCCAGTTTCAATTCGGGTCATCTGGTTCCTTCCATCTAGATTGCACGCAATCACAAACCATTCCTAAAGGGAAATTCTTGAGCTTCCAGTGGATAATATCAGCAGTGATGGAACAGACCAGTCTTCCTCATATATTCTGGGACCTTTGTAGCACCTCTGGATTTATTGTTCTACCATAAAGTGAGATGGCAACCTCAGAGTCAGATTTAGCAAAAATAATAATTATGATGATAACACAATGTGACATTTCTTATACTTAAATGGAGTGAAGTAAATAATAATCACAGGTTTACAATAATTGTTTAGCTTAAAATCTGTGTTTAGGCAATAAATATTTACGTGCTTTTCTTGTAGGTATTGCACTTTTATTCTCTATAAATATTCAGTGAATTTCTTTTAAAACTATCAAACTCCCATTTAACTTGTGTCAAAGGAAAGGAGAAGAATTTTTTTGCACAGAACTGAAAGTATAATGGTACAAGGTCAAACCCAATGGAGACAGGAGCCATCAGGGAGAGAGAATTCCAGGGAGAAAGAATTTCCATGTGGAAAAAGAATTGCCAGAGAGTTCCTGCTGTAACTCTATAAGATTCCGTGTTCTCTTTTCCTAACAGAAGCCAATGCATTATATGAAGACATTAGCAGGACTTTTTTACAGGCAGCTTTAAGAAAAACAAAACTACTAAGACAAGTATAAGATAGAACAGCCTTGTGCACTGGAAATCACTAAAGCAGAGGTTGAGAACTAGAAAGCTGGGGTTAACTCAGACACAATGAGGTTTTTTATGTCCACAAAATGTTTATGACAAATTTCAGATAGGATGCCAACAAGTAAAAATCAGAAAGCTCACATAAAATCTGTGATTTCCAGCTTTCTTTAAAAATTAGAAGACTGGACAACACTGGGCCCCTGCATGTTCACAACAATCAGCTGGACCAGGAAATTTGCTAAACCCTTTAGACACCCTCAGCTTACCACAGTCCAGCACCTTCAGTCCCTGTGGGACCGTCAGGCCGGTTTCATTTATTTTGAGTACTTAATAGCCCCTGAAGGCATCTGAACTAATGAGCTCAGCTCCAAAGGAGAAGTGAAAAATGGTCATTATATACATGGCAACCAGGAATAAGGGGTGGCACACCATTTGAAGACCAGCAAAGACAGATGTTCAGTCCTTTGCCCATTTTGTACACTAGATATCACAAACGGAGCAGACCCAATGTCAGTCTATTTTGCCTTTTCCTTGTGCTGAATTATCATATAAGACTTACTTCTTCTCATTTATTAATTCCAAAAGACTATTTAATGTATATAGTGACTAGAAGAGTAAGTCTCAATTAGAGACTTACCTCTCCTGGTTGTAATAGGTTAAACAGGTTGCCTTTGAATGAACAATGCCTCAGTTTACTCACTCATAAAATGAATGGGTTCAGCTAGCATAATCATTCTGATCATTTCAGTTGGCCTCTGCCCATCTATACCACCTCTACTTATCTAGAATCCACTCAGCTCTCCAGAGATATTCAAGTCCAACCGCCTCTACAAAACCTGTCCAGACTTCTCTTTTTTCTTAAATTTTTGAGCTAATCACCACTAATCCCCAGACTAGCATTTTCTAGTTCTCTAACTGCTCTGCTTAGAGTCCTTTGGTTCATTTGCCATAATCCTACAGAACATTCCTTTAAATAAGAGACTACAGTTTAATTTTAAAACCCACAGCATTTTACACTTAATTGGCATTCAATAATTGTTATTTACTCTGAATGATACAGAAAATATCTCTAAACTGTAAAACTTCCCAAAGAGCAACTTTCATCAGATCCCTCCACACGAATCACAACTTGCTCGGCCGATTCAGGTGGGCCTGAGGTGTACTATGTAATGAAGGCACGCACTACTAGAGGACTGTACTACTTTGCACCTGATCATTGCTTCCTTCCTCAGCTGAAAAGCTCAAAAGAAGAAAACTATAAACAAACAATAACTCACTATAATAAGATATTGCCCAGTGAAAGATTATGTTACCCACTGAAATAGGACCTGAGAAATTTTCCCACCACAATTAAGAAAATCAACTACTACTAAGGTGCTGGTCATACATAAAGTCATATTTTTCCCAAAAAGGGCAGTGACAAACCATCCTTGATCCTCTCCCATTCCTTGGGTGTCACCACAAGGCCTGAGTAACGAGACCACCGTGACATGTGGGCGGGGATTTGCCCACTTTCACCAGAAAAGTAATGAGATACAGCTTCTGCTTGTTCTGGTCAGATGCCTCCTCCCCCCCCCCCCCACACACCAAAATAATTAGGGTCTTAGCTATGCGGTCAGTCCTTCTCTATTAAAGTAGAGCAAACATGAGGAAAGAATAATTCAAGGAAGACATTTTTTGTGACTACTGTTGGGCCGGCGGGACCGGGGGGGGGGGGACGGACCGGGGGCACCAACAACATGGCGGCGGACCCTCCATCTTGTCACCCCCGCCTCAGGACTTTCCCGCCACCAGCGGACCCCGAGGACATGTCATCATGGGAAAACGGGAGCTAGCAGGAGACGGAACCGCACCTTACCCAGGCCCCATATAAGGGCATGGGCAGTTATCGCCCCAAACCGATTCCGCCAGTAATACGATTCCGCCAGCAATACGCCCCAAAACCTATCACCCCACACAGACACAACCCCTTACCCTCCCTTAAAAAGCCCGCATTTAGGGCGGGGGGATGGGGGTGGGGATGGGCCTCAGCGCTTTAGCGCCGCCTTCGGCCCAGGCCTGATCCTGGAGCCCCAGAAGCGAGTCCTGCATCCGGCCCCATGCATGGAGCCTGCCTCTCTGGGTCTCTCATGAATAAATAAAAAAATAAATAAAATCTTTAAAAATAAATATAAAGCCGGACTTCCCCTGTCTCACCCCCTTGCGGCCCCGGTACCTCACCGGACAGCACGTCAATTAAAAGCCTGCCTCCGGCAGGGCAGCCGGGTGGCTGGGGGGTTTGGCGCCGCCTTCAGCCCAGGGCGTGACCTGGAGTCCCGGGATCCAGGCCCACATCGGGCTCCCTGCATGGAGCCTGCTTCTCCCTCTGCCTGTGTCTCTGCCTCTGTGTCTCTCATAAATAAATAAAACATTAAAAAAAAGGCGGGGGGGGCCTGCCTCCACCGACTTTTGCCTGGCCTATTTCTTTTCTTTTCTTTTTTTTTTTTTTTTGGCGTATTTCATTTCACTACCAAACCGATCAAACCTGACAATTAACCTTAATTTCTTTAGTCAATGCATTTAAGGTAATTTACACTCTAGTCAACGGAATTGACACGTGTTAATCACGTCTTAACAGCTAGCAAATTCCAGTGGATGCAAATTGTCAACTTAAAAAAATGCTCTCCTGTGATGTAACCAGCAGCTAATACAGATGTTTCCACTTACCCCATACTCGGTGGACGGAGAATTAGTTCTATAATTCCTATTACACACATTCGATGCTCGCGGGGCAGAATCAAGAGGTGGTGTATCTGTAGGATGGGGAAGGGATTGATTCAGGGCGGGGGGGGGGGGGTTGGGGTGAGGAGGGGATGAATCGTTAAAAAAAACTCCCACTTGGATCTTTGGGGAAAATCTCAGCCCTACCCAATTTAAAAGGATGGGCACTACTGCTTAAAAGCCTTTCCATTTTTCTAGGGAATCCCTATAAAACGCAGCAAGGGTTTCAATCTGGGGGAAACAATTTTTTTTCTTTTTTTTTTTTACACACTGCCTTGTAACGGTTTCGATCCTTCCAATGGTTTATTTCTCCCTGGTGTTTTGCATCACCTGGTTAATTCGTCCTCCCCGACAGGAAGCCTGTCTGGCCACGCAAGCACCGCCTGAAGGGGGCTCCCGACGAGGCTCGGGGCTTAGCCACGCCGGCCCGGCCCGCACGCCCTCGCCCGCTCCGCGGAGCCTCGGAGCTGGGCCTTCCCACATCCATGTCAAGTGAAGTGAGCAGAGCTCAAGCAGAAACCGAAGGACGACAGGTGTCGACGTTTCTCTGAATTTAGGTCAATCCCAGTTCTACTCTCAAATGGTCCTCGGAAAGGATCATACTCCACACATCCCATAAAAAGACCCAACTCTGGCCCTGGGGCGAGCCCCGGAGCAACCGGATTTGTCCCTCTGGGGTCAGAGCCGGGCACACAGTGGGAAAGACCTAGAAGTTCACATTTTCCATCGCGCCGTGCTTGGCACAGCAAAGACACGTACGCCTTGGGTGCTGTACCTCAGGGGCTCCCCGTGTTCCAGCGCAGCCCCCAAAGCCTAGGGGCGGCTCGCTAATTTCAAGGTTCGGGTGAAACGCCCAAGAAGGGCGTGCTCCCCGTTGTCACCGGCCCTCCAACACTAAATGGAGTTTGGAGAAGATGCTCTCCAGGGACTCCGCCTACCTCGCCCTGCCTCACACGCACACACCAAGCTCCACAAGCGTCCGCGACCGTCGGGGGACGAAGGGCTTACTTGGTCACACTCTGCGGGTGGGGGTGGGGTGCGGGGTGGGGGGGTCCTCCTCTCCAGGCGCCAGCGGGGCAGGAAGACTCCCCTACTCCCCCGGGTCTCCACTACTCTCCCCCCAGGGGGCGGGGCTCCGAGTCCAGGTTACCAGGCCAGGCCACCTGGGCACCCAATTAGCGGGGGAGCCCCCGGGCCAGCCTGGCCAATCGCGGCCCGCGAGCCCAGACGACCACGCGTGACGTCAGATGTGATTAAGTTGGCGCGTCACCTCGACGTCAGCCTCTCTCACCTCGGACGTCCCGTCCCGGGAGCGAAACTCCGGCGACTTTGGGCCCCGCCCCCGGGAGGGTGGAGGGCGGCCAATGAAGGCGGTCCCGAGGGGGAGCGCGGCCAATGGGACGGGCCCGAGGGCGGGGCCAGCGCCCGGGGGCGGGGCCGGCGGCGGCGGTGGCAGCCCGAGGTCTGGCTGCGCGCAGTATATGATAGTACGTCAGCAGCGGGATGGCCGTAGCTGTGGCGGCGGCTGCAGAAGCCCAGGCAGCCGCGGCCGCAGTGGAGGCTGAAGCCCGAGCGGCGTCGGCGCCGGCACCCCGGGGAGTTTAAGATGGCGGCGGGGGGGGCGGCGGGCCTGCGGGAGGAGCAGCGCTACGGGCTGTCGTGCGGGCGGCTGGGACAGGACAACATCACGGTGCTGCATGTGAAGCTCACCGAGACGGCGATCCGCGCGCTGGAGACCTACCAGGGCCGCAAGGTGAGCGGGCCGGCCGGGGCGCCCGCGCCTCCCGGGGCTCGGGGCCGCCGAGCCGTGGCTCCCGGCGCTCCCGGCGCTCCCGGCGGCGGCGGCGAGGCCGGCAGGGCAGGGCCGGGCAGGGCCGGGCAGGGTCGCTGACGCCGCCGTCCCGGGCCGGCCGGGCGCCGGGGCGTCGGGAGGCGGGCGGGCGGGCGGGCGGGCGGCCCCTGGCGGCAGGGCCGAGGCAGCCGCAGCCCTGGCCCGGCCGCGCCGCCGCTGCGGGACTTTCCGACGGCGCCCGCGGGTTTCCTGGCGCTGCGCGTCCCGGGGCGGGAGGGGAGCCCTCGAGAGCCGGCGGAGATGACTCCGCGCTCTGGGACGGAGGGGGGAGGGGGCGGGCGCTGCGCCGGCCGCGAGCTGCCCGGGGGCCCCGGCAGCCCCGTGCGCGGAGGCGGGACGCACCTTGCGCTCCAAGGACTTGGGGCCGCAGGTACAGCGCCGGGCGGGGGGCACGCCTTGTACCCGCAGAAACTCGGGGACCCCGGAGAGGGACCAGCACCGTGCCCCGGAGAACCACACACACACACCCCGCGCTCCCCCCGGGAGCGACACTAAGGTCCGCGGAGGCTCCTCGGACCCAGACACCGGCTGTGTCTAGGGCTCACGCCCGCCCGGCGCGAGGAATAAGGACGGGGGGGGGGAGGGGATGGGTCCGCGGCGTGCGGGGCAGAGCCCCGGGTCTCGGCTTCCCGTGCACCCCGCGCCCCGCGTGCACCCCGCGCTCGGGAGAGCCCCCGCGGACGCCTAACACGGCTCCAGGACGGCTGGGGCTCCGAGAGACGCACGCGTGCCGCCGCCGCCGCCGCCGCCGCCGCCGGAGGACAAACCGTAGAAACGCGTCTTCTCGTTGGGGGAGGAAAAAAAAAAACAACAAAAAAAAAAACATGGCATTTAACAAGCGGGGGAGGAGGGTAGGGAGAGACCCGAGAAGACACGCCACGACCCAGTGTGCCTGGGGGAGCCGCTTACGGACATGAAGCGTCTGGATGTATAAAGCGGAGGGATAGAGACCCGATGAGAGATCGGTAACGTTTACAACTGAGAGGAGGGACAGTCGGAGGGGAGGAAAAAAAAAACAAAAAACAAAACAAGACAAAACAAAAAACCAAAAACCACCCCACGGGCCACACTGACAGTCCAGTCCATACCGAGACAACATGCTTCAGTTAACTGAAACAGGCACAGAGGGACACCCAGACGCAGACTCACATAGTTATTCAGATAAAAAGTGGAGAACGGAATTAACATCTGTTGAGCTCCCACTAGTGCCAGGTACTTTAAATGCATAGAAGGAAGACGGCTTTGGAAGCAGAGCTGCCAGAGAGGTGTGAAACCTGGTGGTTTTCAGTGGGAGCTTGTGAAGCTGGGTGAAGGGAGACTCCTCTCGAGAGGCCCCCTGCGCGCAGAGGGAGGCACATGGACTCCTGAGGGTGTAAGGTGTACATACAAGAGGCGCGCAGAGGTGAACTTGCCCAGGAGGGCACTCAGAATTGAGTGGGCCCGTATGTTATCCACCAGAAAAGTGTAAGGTGGAAAACACTCAGACTTGGGGGGAGAGGGAGGCGTTCATGCACAGGGGCGGGGGGGGGGGGGAGTACCTTCCGACACACTGAGAAATCCAGGCAAGAAGCCTCATTTGGGACTGGGGAGTGCATGTGCACCCGGTAATAGGAACGCAAGGAAATAGAAATGCAAAACTGCGTATGTCAGTAACTGCTCCCAGACAGGTACACCTGCCGGGGAGAGATCAGGACCTGCATGGAGTGGAAGGCCCATATGGGGGAGGCCAGATAGGCAAGCAGAAGGAGAGACGCAGACAATGGAGAGAAACTCAGCCCTGCAAGATGGAGAGATAAGCTTGCCAGTTCCAAAGGGAGGGCGTGGGAAGAAATGACACTGGGAAGAAGGTAGGTCAGGGTTGTGAAGAGAAAAACACACAGGCTGAAGAGGAAGAAGCCAGCAGGAGAAGGCCAACTTTCAGTCAGAGACGGACAGACACGTGGAGGGTAGGGAGATTCATCTCTGGGGACAGTAGGTCACCAACCACCTTGAGAGGACAAAAGGCAAACTGTACAATTGATGACAGCAAAATTGACAGACGTTCTACTTGGCAGGGAAGAGGTCGGTGAGGAGACCCGTAATGGGAAGGGATGGTGCCCGTGGAAAGTGATGTGCCAGTGCTCAGTGATCCAGGCTGAGGCCCACAAAGGAGATAATTGTTTTTCTACCTTCGTATCTGCCTTCTACATTTTAGTGCGATATGCTTGGGATTAAGGTTAAAATACTTTGACTCCAAAAGTCCTCACGTTTATATGCCAATACCTTCCAAGAAACAGAAGATCAAAAATTCTCTCTCAACCCACCACTTAGTTCTTGATTCTTTTTCTTTTTACTTTTTATAGTCAAAGGTACTGAAGTCAGTGGGTTTTGGGGTTTGTTTTGTTGGTTTTTTTGTTTTGTTTTGTTTTGTTTTTTTTGGTCCTAACTACCTCTTTGCTGATTAATGTCATTACTATATTTTTCCATCTCTGTGCATGCAAATTAACGAGTCTGCGTATTGAAGCAGAGAAGAGAAAGGGAGAAGACTTTTCCAAGTCCTTCCACCTTTCTGAGGGCGGAGCCAGGTAGACAGAGTTAGTCCTGGCATTCCTTTTCTCCTGAAAAGCTAGTGGCAGAAGCAGTGACATAAAAAGAGAAAGAAGAAATAAACCGACTGGGCCTTTGCAATTGGACACTGCTTTGTTTCTGACTTAACCAGCTTCTGACCACAGACCTCACTGTCATTTCAGCTACAAAATACTTTTTTTAAGGGTCTTGGAAAAGCGGGAATTGGGGTGAGAATATTAATCCCAGGTGGTTGAGAAGTGGGAAGAGGCTGTAGGAAAATAAATGAGGGACCTTTCAGGGGCCTGCAGTGTTCATACTTACTCTGGTGTGTTCAGCTAAGTCTCCTACAGATGTGTTCTCCGTGACCTTCCTCCTGGCTCAGGCCAGACCAGGGCTCTCCCATCATGGAATTGCCAGCAGTAAGCATCTGGCTAAGCTTTTATCTTCCAATACGAAGATAACTTACTTGGTTTTTTTTATACCTTACGCTCTTATCAGAAGTAGGACCCAGGACTTGAAATTGTAGCAGCTGTTTAGAAATACGTTGGCAATATATTGGCCAAATGGGAAGAAGTTTCTGGTGGTCAAGCCTATTCCCTCTTGAGGAAAAATGGCTTTATTTTTTTTTATTTATTTTATTTTTTGGGCTTTAATATTCATAGAAAACTGTCCCTACCATTCCTGTGCTCAGATAGGAAGGTTAATGCTTGACAGGTGGCCTTCAACTGACTTTGGCCTGTGCAAAGTTATGACTGTTATTCCTCATATTTGGATGACTTTCTAAGAGCCAGAAATTTCAACAGTTTCCTAAATTATGCATCAAAGTTATTTTTACTCCGATTACTTTGCCCACTAGATTTACTCTTCTAAATTAATCCGCTTGACCTAAGATTTCAGGGAGGTAAATTTGGGGACTTTAGTAGACTACGATTTAAGCAGAATGCAAAAGTTCTTTAGATATAATTAATTTAACTGGTATATGAGGTTATTATGGTACATAGAAACAGAATCTTCAGTTGGAAACAATTCCTCACTGTTTCAAAAGACAATCAAATCTAATTGACCATCATCATTCAAGTTTTCTATTTTTAGAGAAACGAAAAATGCTATCTTGAAAATCTTTCAACACAGGGATTAGGGGTAGGGGAGAGAGGAGAAATTGTGAGTCCAAGAATGGGAGTTAGAATTGGAGTAAGTATCTCCTAAAAGTTGTTTTCCACCCCATATGAATGCGGAAACAGTTTCAAATTGATCGTATATTAAAAAGTGTTAAATGGAAAGTAAATTTAGGCATAATAATACAGATATCTAGTATATATTACAAAGCTACTTTTTTTTTTTGAACTGTAGACAGGTTATTTTAAATGAGAGGAAAGTTGCTAAATAAAGTTACAAATTACAACTTTATATTCATCTTAAATTGATGTTTGTGATTGCGTGGTCTGTATAAGCGCTGCATACTTTAAGTGAATATATATTACTATAATTACATATTTCTTCCAAATGTATCCTAAAACTGTATTTAAAATTAAAACTCTTGATTCTACAATATATTTTAGCTAATTCAGTAATGTGTAGCTGGCTTATTCTGACGTTTATAGTAAGAAAAAATATCAAACTGTTATCAAATTCTGTCGTTGCTGAGCCTGTCAAATTATTTTTTTTTAATATTTAGTCTGTTTCGAAGATGGTGGCTCAAATAATATCATCATGTTTACCTATTACATAAAAACCCTTGCATAGGTGTGTTTGGCAGGGACTTTACATTCCCCATGACTAAAATCAGAAAGCGGATGTGTTTAAGAAGGTGTCTGTTATATTCTCTTGGCAACTCTAATTATTAGCTTTAAATGAATTTTCCTTCTTTGATAAGTGTCTTCTAGGAAAATGACAGTGTTTTGAAATTTTGTACAAATACACTTACATTTAATTTTGCATGAAAAACTCCCAGTATTGCCCGATATTATTTCCAATCAAAGCCTAAACCTCCAAGTTACTGCCCTTCACAATAGCTCCGTTTGTATGTTACTTGATCTTTTAAAATCACTGATTCCACAAGTCATGAGGCAGGTGATTTCCTCTTAACTGGTCTTTCTACCAGGTGAACTTTTTAGCATTTGATTTTATATTTATGGTTTAAGGCATAGAAAAGACTCCTACCTTAAACTTTTTTCTCATCTCCCATTTTTCTGCCTGTCCTCAATTTTGAGTGTGTATGTGTTCAATAATCTGCATTATAAATATAGAAGACCCTGTTCTTAAGGCATTACTTGAGGATCCAGACCTGCCAGCACAGAATTGCCACTGCCATAGGACATGTTTATTAACCAAAACAAAGAGGTTTGCATCATCAC